AATGAGGCCAGGGCTTTGGAATTGGAGACTGAGGGAATTGCGGAACCTTAGGCAGTTCTAGGTTATGTACACGTCTGGGGTTGTGGCCATGGAAATGAGTAACAAATATGGAAGGGAAATCAAAGTCTTAGAATTTAGGTGGTTTCAGAGAATAATAAGCCATGGGTCCAGAATGGTCAGGATTGAGGTGGAGAAAATCCTGGGTCAGATCCTAATTTATTTGTTCAGCAAATATGTATTGAGTACCCACGTCAGTGAAACTTTGGATTCTTTCTCTTTTGATTACTGGACTCTGGTATCCCAAGTGTGTAAAAGCCTTCCAGGTTAATGTTTGCATGTGTTCCTAGTAAATCATAGTTCTATCTTCCTCAAGGAAGAGACATCATCTTCAGCCAGTTTCTGCCCTATGCCACTTGATGTTTGTAAGAAGCTTAGCTGCGTGGATACTACCAGTTGTGTCTTTATATATTATGTATGTGTGTATAAGTGCAGCTTCATTTCTCATTGCTGTGACAGAGTCAAAATCTAAAGGAAAAGGCTTTGTTTTGGCTCAGTTTCAGTTTGTCATAGAAAGGAGGGTGTGGTAGAGGAGTTCACAGAGGCAGCTCCTCACATCTTCTGGAATAAGATGCAGAAAACAGGAGCAGGAGGAACTCTGTCCTTCCAGGCCCAGCCCCAGTGACTGTGTCTGCTCACTGGGCCATGTCCCAAACACTCTGACACCTCTCAGAGTTGCACCACCAGCTGCTACAGGTTCAAACATAGGAGCATCAGGAGAACATTTCACATGAAACCCACAGATCGGTATAAACAGTGGCTTTAAGGAGCACATGGTGACCACAAAGTTCCAGTAGATACTAGAATTTCCTGTTGTGTTTTTGCCTCAGTACAAGAGCATTGATTATCTTGGAAGCCCCAGGCTCTGGCCACTGATGACCACTTTTCACTTGTGTGTCCTAGGTTATCAAGGCTGCCTACGACCAAGTAAAAGCAGTTGCTCAAGGAAACCTTTCCGGTGCAGATGTCCAAGCTGCCAAGTAAGTTTCTATATTAATTATATATTTCATACTTACTTAAAAGCTGATTTAAAAAAAAAAAATACTGTAGCCGGGCGGTGGTGGCGCACGCCTTTAATCCCAGCACTCGGGAGGCAGAGCCAGGTGGATCTCTGTGAGTTCGAGGCCAGCCTGGACTACCAAGTGAGTTCCAGGAAAAGGCGCAAAGCTACACAGAGAAACCCTGTCTCAAAAAAAACCAAAAAAAAAAAAAAAAAAAAAAAAAGACAAAAAAAAAAAAAAAAAAACAAAAAAAATACTGTACACTCATAGAATTGAAAAGTAAAGAATATATTAAAAAGGAAAGGCTATAATTTAGTGGTGGTGATTTGCCTTGCATGTACACAACATGGGTTCTTTTCTCAGCACAGCAGAAATGACCCTTGTTTCCCTTCTGAGGGTTCTTTTTTTAATTTATTTTATCTGTATGAGTGTTTTGCCTGCATGTATGTGCATAACATGCATGCCTGATGCCCTCAGGCCAGAAAAGGGTGTTGGATCTCCTGGATCCAATGGTTGTGAACCACTGTGTGGGTGCTGGGAATCAAACCCACGTCTTCTGCAAGAGCAACAAGTATTCTTGACCACTGAGCCATCTCTCCAGCCCCATCTTTTTTCTTTTTCTTATGTTTGGGCTCAGCCATGTCATTACATTTGTGTGGAAGTCAGAGGACAACTTGGAGGAGTTGTTCCCTCTTTCCACTGTGCGGGTTCCAGGACTGAGTTTGGGGTTACTCTGTTTGGCAACAAGCACCTTTACCCCATAGATAACTCAAGTGCCTTTTGAGGGTGTGTTTGTAAGGAATAACAATTTGTTCATAGCATAATTGTGAATTGAGTTTGTCTGTTTTATTTAAAAAAAAAAATGAAGCTTTTGCATCCATATTTAAGCCATGGGGCATAGAAGGCACCATATCGCACCATACTTTCCCACATGCCTTCTCCACCATGCTCTTCCCTCATTGAGATATTTCCTAATAGAGTAATGGGATCTGGGGTGTGTGTGTGTGTGTGTGTGTGTGTGTGTGTGTGTAATTATCAGCCAAGTAGATGGTACATTAAGAATTCACATACATAGGTATTTTTCCTTATTAAAAATGCATGGAAATAAAATAAAAATGACTAAATAAAAATACAATCATAGCAGGACATGAAAGTGCACACCTTTAATCCTAACACTTGAGAAGAAGAGGCAGGCAGATCTCTCTAGTACAAAGCCAGCCATAGTGAGTGCCAGACAGCCAGGGCTATGTAGAGAAACCCTATCATTTAAAAAAAAAAAAAAAAGGCAGCAGCAACAAATATATTTTTTTCACAAGTTAAAAGTTGCTTCATGGGGCTGGAGAGATGGCTCAGAGGTTAAGAGCACCAACTGCTCTTCCAGAGGTTCTGAGTTCAATTCCCAGCAACCACATGGTGGCTTACAACCATCTGTAATGAGATCTGGCACCCTCTTCTGTATACATAATAAATAAATCTTTGAAAAAAAAAAAGATACCTATACTTACTGGCACAGCACATTGTGTGTGTGTGTGTGTGTGTGTGTGTGTGTAAAAAAAAAAGTTGCTTCATGACCAAAACTCACCCTAAATGTTTTACATAGATCTGTAGATCTAAGCTATACTCCAAAATCAAAAGACAGCTTTTGTTGAGTGTTGAGTACTGTTTTGTATTGATAGCTTTCTAGACAGTGATGGTGAGCTAAAGAAATACAACAGACTGTTCAGCCTGTTTGATGTACATTTACTATCTTGTTAAAAAGAAATAAATAAAACTGACCCCTGCCTTATATTGGACAGGAACAAGCTGAAAGCTGGATACCTGATGTCTGTGGAGACTTCAGAGGGTTTTCTGAATGAAATTGGGTCACAGGCTCTAGTTGCTGGCTCTTATATATCACCACCCAGCTTCCTTCAACAAATTGATGCTGTGGCTGATGCTGATGTCATAAAGGTAAGCAAATAAAATCTGTGTTTCAGCCGGGCAGTGGTGGCACACGCCTTTAATCCCAGCACTCGGGAGGCAGAGCCAGGTGGATCTCTGTGAGTTCGAGGCCAGCCTGGGCTACCAAGTGAGTTCCAGGAAAGGCACAAAGCTACACAGAGAAACCCTGTCTCGAAAAACCAAAAAAAAAAAAAAAAAAAATCTGTGTTTCAGCCTTAGATTGTTTAACCTTAATGACCTGCTTTCAGAAGAACTGCATAAGCTTCCTTGGGCCTGTGTGTTGGTGCGGAGAGCAGAACTCTTTCCATCATGTCTACCGTTAGCTTCCCTAGCAACTTGGCTGTATGTGTCTTCCTCATTCAAGGAAATGCCCATTAGGTTGAATCATTTTAAACTCTTGTAGGTCAGGAGGAGTCAGCTAAGCAACTTCACAGGTTTCATGGCTGTTTGCTGCTCCTTTACCCCCAAGAAGCACCTTGCAAGTCCTTTACCATGCAGGGTCTCATGGTTTTCTACATCCTTTCAGCATAAGACCTTCTACTGCTAGTTTTCCTCATCCACTCTTAAATTATTGTTCCCTACAAGATGGAGTTGTTTGTACAGCTAGGTATGGTGGTGCACACTTTTGATCCCAGCACTTGAGAGGCATAGGCAGGCAGATCTCTGAGTTCAAGGCCAGCCTGGTCTACAGAGTGAGTTCCAGGACAGTCAGGGCTACATAAAGAAACCCTGTCTCGAAAAACCAAAAAAAAAAAGAAAGAAACATTGTGTTGAGTACTAATAAGGTGAGCTCCGATATACATCTGCAGTGCTCCCTTTTCTACTGTAGGTATCTTACCATTTTCTCACCATTGTGTGCTGACAGTGGGATAGAAGAGACAGGCTGCTTTTAGATACTAACCCTGCCTGCATTTCAGTTGGCCCCAGAATTCATCATAACATAATCTAAAAAGTATATTTATGTGTAAGGGCTGTGTGAATCCCTGCTCACCCACATCCACCACCTTCTCTTGTATCAGAAAAGCTAACCTAGGTAACATAGGAGCTCCTGCTCTACCTAGTCCTGACCTTTGCTGGGACATATACTATAACCTTTGAATTTGAAATAATGACATGGAGAATACCAGGCCAGCCAGGCATGGTAGCATGCCTGCAACCCCTTAGTATTCTGGAAGCTAAAGTGAAAAGATTGTGAGTTTCAAGCAGCTTGGACTACATACTCTCAATATTACCTCCAATAGCCCCTCTTCCAAAATAAAAGGAACACCAAGACATAAAATGTGCTTTCGTGTTAACAGTGAGGGTGTTTTGGTCAACCCAGGCCTTTTGCCATCATCATACAGAACAAAAGTGCAGCATAGCTGCAGCCATCCTGTCCTATTTTGATTGTCAGTAGGGGTTTTTCTTGTACCCCTTTCAAAACTGTCCTCATCCGGAGACCGTCTCCTGCTTGCTTAGTTCCCATTCAGAATAAAATACCAACCATCTCACAGTTCATTGTCTTATGAGGCTGTATTACAGAATTGCTGGCTTAGAATGTCTTGTCCATAAACTCAGAATACATGGTTTACTACTTGATGATAGCATTATTTAACTTCCTGTGTTTTGTTTAAGGCTGCAAAAAAGTTTGTTTCTGGCAAGAAGTCAATGGCAGCAAGTGGAAACTTGGGACATACACCTTTTCTTGACGAGCTGTAACAAGTGTATTCAAGTGGAGCCCGCTGAGCCTTTTCTCAGCCCAGACCAGCAAACACATGGAAGGCAGGTCTCTCAACTTAACAGTCAACCCTTTTCTCAATGAAGTACTTAAAAGCATAAATATGGATAGTTATTGCCAGCTGCCCTAGGACAAATAAAGCATTGTGTGTAAGTGTTTTTCTTGCATTCTTTCTAGGCAGTCAACAGTTATTTATTATATGATGAGACTTTTTTGTTTTAAATGCTTTAAAGAAGACAGTAATACAGTAGTTGAGTTTACCAGTTACATCAATTAAGAAATTTCACAAACTGTTAAAATTGAGGCAGCTCTGAAAGTAAAAGTTCCAGATTATTATTGGTGGCTTTTTAAATTAAAAACAAGTTTAAAATTGCTCATTTGGGGATAACAACAAGTGAAGGGTCTGGGTTTTGCCCCCTTTATTAGATATGTTTCTAAGGACCATCCTTCATTTGTGTCTGAATTTGCTTCTCTGCGGCAGAGTTTTCTCTGCGGCAGAATTATTTCTGTCTCCTTTAAATAATTCTCAGCCTGACATTCCAAGTAAAAGTATCACTGAAAGGGTGGGGGCACGGTTGTAATGTAAACAACCAGCCCAAAACACAAAGAAAACTTTACCTTAGAAAACAAATGGTCAGCCATGATGATTGGGTTCCTCTACTTGATATTCTAAAAGCTGAGTGAATGATGTGATTCTGAGAACAGATCTGTGGAACCTGTTAGACCACAGGGAAGGAGGTCCTGAGCTATTAACTGGAGGTCTATGAAGGCTTTTTTGTAGTCCTCGAAGAGCTGCTAAGTGCTGTAGGAATTCTACAAACCTATACATGGTAAGGCACAAAAATTGGATATTTAAAAATAAAAATTTCTGTGGCCACAGATTTGCAAGCTAGTACCTAACCAAACTTTGATACCTGCTGACCTTCACCCTGCTCCACCTGTGCATAGTCCTCCAGCCAAAAGGCATCTGAGTTAGAGGAAGCGCCAGAGGAGGAGGAGGAAATGGCATTATCATGCTCCACCATTGTCCAGTATGGAGAAGGGGCCCTCAGGTCTTTCTTGTCATCTTTGTGAATTACAACATCATGGTTAACACCTTTCCCAACACTAATAGTGTGGTCCTTCTTTTTATATCCATGCCATTCTGTGGAGATTGATATCGGTGTCCTTACGGGGTGATTCCAAACTGATCGAGGATATCTGTAATACTTGAGTCTTTTATCTAGAACTACATCTTCTTGGTCATCTCTGCTTACAAAAGACCCATCCTTTGCCTGCTCCGTTGTCTTTGGTGAGCTGAAATGAAGAGTATATTCTTAATGTCTTAGCAGAGTTCGCTAACAGAACATATTATAGACTACTTTGTCTCAGAAATTACAAAAAATAAATAAAATGTTTGGGGCTAGAGAGATGGCCCCTAAAAGGCAGCTCACAACTGCCTGTAACTCTAGTTCTGGAGGACCCTGTACCTTCTTCTGGCCTCTGGAAACTGCACTCAACTTACACATACACACACACAATCAAAAATAAAGCCTTTGTTTTTTCGTGTGTGTGTGTGTGTGTGTGTGTGTGTGTGTGTGTGTGTGTGTGTGTAAACCTAGAAATAAAAATTACCTTCATTATTTTCTGCATCATTGAGTGTTGATGAAATGGATTCTTGGTGCTTGAATACTTTCAGATTTATTGATTTTATGTGGAGTGTTTTACCTGCATGTATATATGTGTGTCATGTGTATGCTGGTACCCATGGATGTCAAATGAGGTTGTCGTATCTACTGGAACTGGAGTTATAGATAATCAGTACTTAAACATTTAAAGTCTCCTAACAAAACATTTTATAGCTTTCTTTGATAATCTACAGACATAGGTCAGTACTTTCTGATTCATTGATGAGGCTGCCCACCCCCCCCCCCCCACACACACACACACCTCCCCCACTGCTCTAGAGCTCACCCTACCCCACCCCCTAGCTTCAAACACTCAGATCTGCCTACCTCTGCCTCCCAGGTGCTGGGAAGTTTTACCCTTTGAGCTAGAGAAATGTCTGTTAAAGGTTCAGGATCACATTTTAAAATACCTTTTAATTTTTTCCCAACCATAAGTATAAATCCTGCCTTATTATTTCACACTACTTTAAAAGAAACCTTTACAATTTAAGCCAGACCACGGACTAGACTCTTAAGAGACCTTAAAGGATGAACTAATTTCATTGTGCTTTGAGTGACAGGTTTAGTCTGGCCCTCTAGACCAGAACTCTGTTCTCATGGGTCATATAGCAAAGATAACCCATTACCAGGGGAGTCAGGCAATGGTGAGCTTCAAGATTCTTCAGCTTGCTAGCCATTAGTAATTCTGGGGTGTGTTTCTTTTTCCCCTAGACAATATTACACAGGCTGTCATTCTACTTGTTGTGGATCACAGATACTGGTTTGTGCAGCATTCTTACCCACATCTGTTATCACCAAGTTTTCAAGGCTTTTCTTTTCCAACTTGCCCCTGTCCATGGCTTGATCATTGAAACATGGACGATGGCTTGGACTCTGCTAGCTCACCTTGCTGTTACATCCCAGAACAGATACTGGCCCCTGACCTTACTCATCCTGGTGCTCCTGCCCAGCAAACCCAAAACTGGCCCTGTGCTTATAGCTCTGTTTCTAAGAATTTAAGCAACTTTTCCTAAAGTTTCTCTCTTCTATTAATGATGGTATTGAGTAGAGTTTTGTTACACACAGCTAGTCTTAAAGGGTATGAAGGGAAGTCAAATGATCTCAGGACTACGATTGTTTCTCTCTGCCACATGCAGACCTCCCTGAACAGCCAAGGAATGGAGGTAAAAAACAATCCATGTTACCTTCTTTTTTTCAGCTTCAGTAGGTATCCTTGGTAGACAGTAGCCAAGGGTACTTGATAAGTCTAGGCTCTTATTAACCTGGCACTAGATGATAAAGGCCCAACCAATAATTTGGGGTTTCCTGGAAACAGTTGACCTCTACAGAGTGATAGATGAAAGGCATAGCCTTTACCATGTGTACAAAGCATCTGCCCCTGACAGTCTACTAACTGAAAGAACCTTTCCTACCCCCGGCCCTTCCATGTCTCCATCACATATGTTACTAAGATTCTTTAACTCTGCTTTGCCTAACTGAGGAAGGAATTCAGAATGTGCATCATATTGTTTAGGGGCATTAGCCTTATATATGTTATGCTACTTATCTCTTTGCTTTTAAAGAAAAAAATCTTCTGTCCTTAAATTTGATACTCTGATTTCAAATTCCTCAGTGTGATAAAATACTTAAAGTTGCCAGGCAGTGGTGACACACTCCTTTAATCCCAGAACTTCAGGAGGCAGAGGCAGGTAGATCTATGTAAGTTTGGCCATCCTGATCTACAGAACAAGTTCCAGGATAGTCAGAGCTACACAGAGAAACCTTTTCTCAAATAAACAAACAAACAATAAAAAACTTAGGAGTAACACTCTCCAATATGAGGGCTTCCAGCTCCATGTGGCTGTTGATTTTTAATTAATTACATTTGGATAAAATTTTAAATTCCTTAGTTGCATATCTAAGGACTTAATAGCCACATGTGTGGCAAGTTTATACGTATTTCTGGGCCCTTCATTTCTTCTAAAGTGAGAGTTAAAAGGGTAAAAAGAGCCAGGTGTGGTGCACATGCATGCCTTTAATTCTAGCACTTGGGAGGTAGAAATAGGCAGATCTATGTAAGTTCAAGGCCATCCTGATCTGCATAGTTCCAGGACAGCCAGAGAAAAAAGATTGGGGGCTGGAGAGATGGCTCAGTGGTTAAGAGCATTGACTGCTCTTCCAATTCCCAACATCCACATGGCAGCTTACAACTGTCTGTAACTCCAGTTCCAGGGGACTTGACACCCTCACACAGATATACACACAGGCAAAACACCAGTGCACAGATAATAAAAATATTTTTTTTAAAAGGTTAACAAGAGAATTAAATAGTACAGTACTTAGGAAGTACTGTTGCAGTGCACAGGATGCATTTTTTTTTAAAGATTTATTTATTATGTATACAATATTCTGTCTGCACGCATCCCTGCAGGCCAGAAGAGGGCACCAGATCTCATTACAGATGGTTGTGAGCCACCATGTGGTTGCTGGGAATTGAACTCAGGACCTCTGGAAGGGCAGCCAGTGCTCTTAACCTCTGAGCCATCTCTCCAGCCCCAGGATGCATTTTTTTTTAAAAAGGTTGACAAGAGAATTAAATAGTACAGTACTTAGGAAGTACTGTTGCAGTGCACAGGATGCAGTAAGCAATGAATAAGTATTCGCCATTATTTATGATTTATAGTTAAATACTGATTTTTTTTTTTTTTTTTTTTTTTTTTTTTTTTTGGTTTTTCGAGACAGGGTTTCTCTGTGTAGCTTTGCGCCTTTTCCTGGAACTCACTTGGTAGCCCAGGCTGGCCTCGAACTCACAGAGATCCGCCTGGCTCTGCCTCCCGAGTGCTGGGATTAAAGGCGTGCGCCACCACCGCCCGGCTAAATACTGATTTTAAAAAGACATTTTCCCAATCTGCTTCATCTGAAGTGGCAGCTGCTCTCCCACTCAGGCCTGCACCGTCACCACGTGGGATCACAGGTCCATCTGATTTTTTAGGAGAAATCAAAGATATTGATTCTTTCCATGAAATATTTGCAGACTTGGCATATAATTCAAATACTTTTCATTTTTAAAATTTTGAAATATGCAGAAAACAAACCAAAAAAAACTTTTTTAAATCTACAAAACCTTTGATGGCTACCACTCATGTCAAGATATACTGTTACAGCTACTGGTTAAACCTCCCACACATCTTCCTTGCTAAGTCACTGCTCTTTCTAGGTGGCGAGCTCTGCAAAGGACACCTGTGGGCTACATCTGACTCTTGGGTCCCAAGTGTGGGCATCTGATGTCAGGCTGATGTATGTGTAAAGGTCGTTTTCTGGTCTTAGTCTTTAGCTGTATTTCTGAGCAATGCACAGCTACAGAGACCGGCTCTTAAGACCTGATGGATTAAGAGCTGCTCTTGTAGCGAAGTCCTGGATTTAACATTGAACAAAGAGCCTCATGTTCTAAGCACCCCAGGCACACTGCTTTTAGAAATGTGATCACACCAATGATTTAATTAAAATTGGAGCCATTATGGAGAGAGACAGTGCTATGAACACACATGGCAGGTGGTTCTGACTGTACCAACACTTGTAGGAAGGCCTCTCAGAAAGTTTGCACTGATCTTTGTAGAAATGAACAACAGCATAAGCATGGCATAGAACAACAGTGTAAACATGGGTGTGAAAAGCTGAAGGACCAGAGAACTAGAGAGATGGGGAGAGACTAATGGGATGGAGCTGAAATGGTACCCCTTCAGGCCACAGAACAGCATTGAAAACAGTGTACGGACTTTGGCATTTATCCTAAGAACAAGAGATCCTAACGTTCTTAACCTGGAATATGCCATGGTCATATTTGCATTATAAAAGGGTCATCCTGAGCCAGGCGGTGGTGGCACATGCCTTTAATCCCAGCACTGAGGAGGCAGAGGCAGGCGAATCTCCGTGAGTTCAAAGCCAGCCTGGTTTACAGAGTGAGATCCAGGACAAGCACCAAAGCTACACAGAGAAACCCTGTCTCAAAACAAACAAGCCAACAAAAAAAAAGTTCTTTAGCCACACATTTCTCACCATTACCATGTTCTGTCAAAGCACATGGGACCAAATGACCATTGACAAAACTCTTTGAAACTGTGAACAAAAATAAATTCTTAAGTTACTCTGGCATGTGTTTGTTCACATAAATGGAGAAAGAAAGAAAAAAACTGATACAACTGGCTTTTGATTCCAAGGATAAATTGGGGCGGGGGGGGGGGGGGGTGCCATACATCTAAATGGAGATAAGTGAGTGATTTAAGATGAGTGGAGATAATATACGTTGCAAGTGCTTAGTGTATGGATAGTAACAGAAACCAAAGGCACTGAGACAGCCTCGGAAACAGAAGAGCCAAAGACAGCTTTGAGGAACTCTAGGGGAAGAACCCTGAGGTAAAAGGAAAATAGGGAGAGTGATTTCACAGAAAACTGGGGAAGATCTGTCAAGGGTGGGAATAAAAGGATTGAGTAGTTGCAAAGAGTCTGATTAAAAGGCAAGCAAAATAAAGAGTCCGTTGGAATTGTCATATGAAGGTAGCAGATGGCCTGGAAATAGGCCTTGGCTGAGAAGAGATTAAAGCAATGCCTATATTGGTGCCTGAGATGTGTGTCTCCTGAGGAAATGGAGAGCCCTATCAGCTTTCTCATCAAATTAGAAGCGGGGGCAGGAAGAGGAGTGGAGTTAGTGTTTACTAAGAAGGGAGAAGCTTATAAAAGGGCATCATGCTGGTTGGATTTTGTCAACTTGACACAAACTTAGACATATCTGGAAAGAGGGACTCAATTGGGACAATGTCTCCATAAAGTTGGGTATTCCCTTGGGATGGGAGGGCCCAGCCCATTGTGGGTGGTGCCACCCCTGGCCAGATGGCTGTAGATGGTCTAAGAAAACAAACTGAAAGCCAGTAAGCAGCATTCCTCCACATGCTCTTCAGTTCCTGCCCTGATTTCATTTGAATGATGGACTGTGATGTGGAAGTATAATCAAAATAAACCCTTTCCTCTGCAAATTGCTTTTGGTCATGGTGTTTTGTCATATCAATAGACGCCCTAACTAAGACAGGTGTAAATGTTATTGAGAAGGATCCAGAAAGTTAATGCAAGAGAAGAGGAAGTAGGGTTCTCAGCACTGTGTGTGTTTTTACCCCTATGGAGGTCAGGTTGACAGCAGGTATCCCTTTATCACATTCTACCTTTTTGAGAAAGAGTCTCTCGCTGAACTGGCAGCTCACCAGTTGGGCTAGACTGGCTGGCTGGCCAACAAGCTCTGAGAGTGTTCTTCTGTCCTCCCTGCCACCTCTGGAGTTAGACATATTCCACCACCCCCAGTTTTTCCATGGGTGCCAGGGATCCAAACACAAGTCCTTACGCTCTCACAGCAAGCACTTCACCTACTAAGCCAGTTAGTTCCCAGCCCCATCTCAACCTGCGTTTCAGGGCTGACAGACAGGCTGCACTGATACAGTGCGGGGAGATTTGGGGACAGAGTACCTAGTTAATGACTGCTGACTGAGTGCCTTTATAACTACCACTCCCTTGTATGAGGTCCTGCGGAATGTCCTGTAGAATGTAGTTCACTAAGCCCTGGCAGTGTAGCCAGCCCTCCTCCCACGGTTCTGACCATTTGATGGTTCTCACATTAAACCAGAACCCTGCACCTCACAGGCCTGGGTTTCATAACATTGTCCTAAAGTAAACTACTTACTGTGGGACTGGAAATTTGGTCTCGGGGATTAAGTCATACACATCTTGCCATTCCTGGGGGATGTCAATAAAGTCTCGGTAAGCCTTGATTTGTAGCACTGTTCCTATGGTGATATTTTGCAAAAGCTTTAAAAATTCACGGAGGGTATATCCTAACACGTTAGCATGTCCAACACTAATCAGAACATCACCTGAAAAGGGAAAAAAGGTTAAATTACCATAATGGGTTGAAAAGAGCCATACTGATCAGTGGCTTTATTGAAATATTTTATGGATTCATATGCTGGTTTATTTTGACCAAAGCCTGGCTTCCATCTTGACTTACTAAGAACATTCTCCTCCCACATGATAAAGATGCCTACCCTAGTTCTTTAATAGCATTTTTGAGACATTTCTGAAGTTCTTAGCTGGTAAGTTCTTAGCCTCTGGTAAAGACGCTAAAACCATTTAAAACCCAAACCATTTAGATTTAAGATTCTAAACACAGTGAAATGGGTGGCTGTAACTAGTAAAAGAGAAGCCACTTTCCATTCTACCTGCCTGGGATCACCAAGCTCTCCACAGCAAATAAGCTAAATTAAGCACAAAGCCTTCTGTTGGTGTTCTGCCCCTGTCCTAAATTAAATCAGCCAAATAACTGTATGGTAATCAGATAATTAGCTTCTATCAATTATGCGTATGATATGTACATGCAGAAAGTGTGTTGACTTCAAAGAATCTAAACTTGTTCCGCCCCCTCGCCTCTACCTCTTCAGCATATCCCACTACATCGCACCACTACAACCTGGAGAATTGATTCAAAACACTGAGAGCAGGACCCCCTCGTTTAAAACACGCTATGTGGGGAATTGTGATGGTCAACCATGGAGCTTCGAGCACCCAGCAGGTGGAAAGAGATAAATACCTTAACAAAAACCTAGGTCCCCAAAAGGAAAGCTAAAAGGATCAATTTTTCACTTGTATGGACCTAACCCACTCCACCAGCTTCCACCAGCTACAGTGAAGATCTGTAAACTGAACCTGCATTGGGATGATGGGAGCATCCAGGTCTCTGGACCCTTTGGTCTATCCCCAAGCCTGGTTCTCCAGATTTTTTGGGCAATTCAGTCAGATACTACCCTAAATTAAGTGCCTTAGCAATACCGTTTCCTGTTGCTTGTCATAAGGAGCATGAATACTAGCATTCAGCCAAGCCCATAAGGAGGGATACAGAAGGTTTGCACTTAAAGGACAGATTGACTCTGGGGAAAGTCTTAGTTATCAGTACTTCTCAGTGGGGAGCAGATGAAGTCCTGAGTGTATTGTTGACATGGGCAAGGCCTTGTCAAGGACCCCAATACCCATGGAAGTGGCAAAGCCTTCCCTAGGTGAGGCTCAGAAGCATGACAAAAGCTTCCTTTGGTTCAAGTACGAGCGTTTTGACCAGTGTGCAAAAACTTAGCAACTGCAGCTTCCTCCTCTTGGATGACTGCAAGCTGATGGTGGTCCCCATTTCCAGAGACCTCCTCCTGAGACTGGCCGACTCCTCTTTCTTGTGCTGTTCACAGTCATACTCTCCATCAGAGCGAGCACAGCCCACCCAACCCCAGCTTCTCTGTGTGTCGGTGCCTCCCTCAGTGTTGAACTTTCTTGATTCTTGTATTGCCTGTCAGGACCTTATGACTGATACAGGATGACAAGTTACCTGTCTGTGCATGTGAAGCTAGGAGCCCTCAGTAACCTTCATCCCAAGACAGGTGAAACCTAAGATCAGAGGGAGGGGTCAGGAAGAGGCTGGTGCTGGATCCCACTGCAGGCTAGTCAGGAGTTACACTGGTCCTGAGGGAGTGTCCAAGCACTGCCAGGGACACATTTCTTTAGTGTGAGATTCTATTAGAAACAAAAGTTTGCATTGTTCTAGAAAGCAAGTACGTAGAAAGTCTGAGGAATCCTTCTGCATTGGTTTTGAGAACTAGATGGGGGATAAAGCCAGCCACATAACTGAGCTGGACACAGTAGCACGTGCCTTAAAACCAATATTCAAAAGGCTGAATGGCGGCACAGGCCTTTAATCCCAGCACTTGGAGGCAGAGGCAGACAGATCTCTAAGAGTTCGAGGCCAGCCTGATCTACAAAATGAATTCTAGACCAAGGCTACACATGGGAACCCTGTCTTGAAAAAACAACAAAAAAGGCTGAGGCAGGAAGATGGACCATTCAAGGCCAGCCTGAGCTACATAGTGAGACTGTCTCAAAAAGCAAGACAAACAAAAACCAAAGTATGTACTGAAATAACTTCGGAATGAAGCAAGCAAGGTTTCTCTCGGAGCTACCTGCGGGCTGTGCAGTATGAAACAGCTGCTCTTCCTGCTGAGGTTAATTACAGTAACAAAGTTACCCTCTTAGGATGAGCTCATGTGCCTGATGTTAAAAGGGGTGTTTATAGCTGAAAACTATGGCTTGGCATCCTGCTTAATTATGTTGTAAGAGGGTGACTTTTATCAAGAGAACAGAAAATAAACAGCTTAATTTCCTGACCGATCTGGCTTTAAACCAAATATGTTGGGGTATGAATGTGATTGCTCTGGCAGGAGATAGTAACACTGCCTTTCATAGACACCAACTGGGTATTTATGAACACTAACCTCATAATGCATCTTTTTTTCTGCTTTAATAGGCTGTAGGAATGACATTGTATAAGGCTGTTTAGATTGCCTATATTAATCAACTGTGTAGCGGCCACAACCACTACTGAAAAATAGGTTTTCTTTTTCTCTGTTCTTTCCAACAAGGACGTAAGTTGTATGCATTTTGTGTGGTTAGGATCACATTTGTTTAGCTCTCCACTGTTAGTAAACAGGACCTGGACATGGAAAGGAATTAAGGAAATGCAGAATGAATGAATGGATGAGCCTGGGTCTGGCTCACTGAATGAATGAAGCCAGTGCATGGCTACTGTCCACTGTCAAGGCTGTATTCATATTTTCAAGCTGTAGTAGTATCTTAAGGCTTTGTGTATCAGACAGATACAGAAAACCAACACCAAATTAGCAAATCAAGATAAAACACGGAAGACAAAGGACTTTAGGACATGTGAATGAGAAATAACAGGGCTGGCAGGTGTCAAAGAAGGAGCAAATCCCATGATTGCCATCAAAAAGGATGGAAAAGCAGCCTTTGAAACCTAGACACTGAACAGTAACTGGCTTCCATGAAGAGATTTGGTGCCCAGAATGAAATCTCACTTCTTTCCAGGAGAGCCAGGCTAGCTACACAGAGAAACCTATTTTCAAAAATCAAAAAAAAAAAAAAAAAAAAAAAAAAAAAAGGAAAAAAGAAAGAAAGAAATCTCACTTCTGCTCATTAGGCCATTGGTAACATGGTATGGGTTTTCTAGGTCATGGATTCAAATCTGACCTTTGGCCGCAATCCTTGTGCTATATATGGTAGAGAATGATCAAGGGAGACCCCCAACATCGATCTGTGGCCTCTGTATACTCCTCACACATATATATGCAGAAAAGCTCATCTCTAAAAGACAACAAGCTATAGAGAAGCCATAAGAATGAGAATTGGCAATATTTCTAGAGTACTTGTTTCTAAAGCTCTTCACAGTATTTTACCACATCCTAATAACCTCGAACAAAAATGAGATTCTCCCAATTTAGATATGAAGTCACTGAGGCTTGAAAGACTGACCTTGCCAAGGTCACAGAATGAGAAAGAAACAGACCTTGGACCTGATTTCAGAACAAATGGCCTCAAGTGGTTTTCCCTCTCATGATTTCATCCCACTGTGCCTCGCCCTCTCCTCGGCACAGCACCAGGGCCAAAACAGATCCTGGGAAAACATGTCTTACATCAGCCAGAAAATGCATTCCCCCAGAGACCCGAGAAGTTAGGTGATCCTGACGAGACCCTTGGGCTTGGAATCTGAGAGGGAGGGTTTAAATTCCAACTCCGAGGTGTACCTGGGCAAGTTCCTAAGTAGCTATATATTTGCAGAGTGCTTTAGTGCAGAATATACCCCTGGAACTGTTGAGAAGGTGAAATGAGATCATTTGTCTCCACATGGTAGCTATGATTAACAACACCTCCCAGGAAAGAAGAAATCTTTATGCAGTCGTGAGCTGTGGAGTGACGCTGGGTCTATGTTTGTCTCCCACTTACTGGATGAAAGTGAACCCGGTGAGGAAGACTCTGCCACTAAGCTTCAGTCTCCTCACCTGCAAAAAGAAGATGGTGAGAACACACCCACCTCGAGTGTTACTAAAAACCAAATGAATAGCGAGCAGCTGCTGAGTATACCCACGCCAGCAACTGACGGGCCCCTAGCGAATTCTCAGACAATGTCGTAGCCTCATGCTGACTCCCTGAAGGCTATCGAAGACTGTTGGGGGCCTACTTCATATTTCTATGGCTTGCAGCAGAAGGCAGGTGGGAAGGAGGCATGTGGGCACCACAGTCACCTGGCTGGAGTATGCCATCACTGGCTGCAGCCCCTTTATTGATGAGGTGACTAATCTGGAGGTAAGGCCCATTCTGGATGATGATCAGGCCCAATCCCAGGCTGCCCACGGTGAGTTTGGTCTGCTTCACTTTGTTCAAGCTGTGGACAGACGCCTTGCCCTTGAGGCTGTATCCTTTTTCTAACAGAACAAGAGGAACTTGTTTCAGTCATTTATCAAGACAACAGCATGGCCGTGGTGCTGTGGAGTTCTGAGACTGCACTTGGGGGGCACTTATCCAGTCAGTTACCTAGTCTTCAGTTTCCCCTTTTGGAAAATGAATGTTGTAAAGGGTGTGGAAGTTAAACAGGACAGTTAAAGGGCTACTGGACAGTGCTAGTACATCATGGGTGCTTAATATCAGTTGTTATTATTATCATCATCCATTCACTTTGGAAATGTTTACTGATGCAAGCAGTGTACTCAGGCCCTGGGTTTACTATGGGCTCATTGCCCTCGTGGATCTTAGAGCCTAGTAGAGGACACAGCTGTCTGTCCGTTATGCAAACACAAATTGGATGCTAATAGGAAGAAAAGGCAGAGCGCCCTGAGGGTAAACAGGACACCTAAGTTTCACATAGGGATAAGGACTGTGTTTCCCTGAAGGAGTAAATATGGATCAAGGTGAGAGAACCAACAAGCTAGATGGGAGTGAGCAAACAGGAGCAAGGTTGTATGACAGGAAGGAACCAGCCTTGATGGGGACGTGAAGGAGCGGCACCAGGAAGGTGGTGGGAGGTTCACTGCCTGGCAGATAGGCCGCCATCCAGTTTTACCTAAAGGAAATCGTGGAAGTCATTTAAGCTGGACATGATCACATTGTCATTGTTTTAAATAAAATCACCATGCTGGCTGCTGTGTGATATGTGGAACCCAGAATGGAGCTGGGAAATGAAAAAGCAGACTGCAGTCACTCGGCATGTCACAGCCCTGGCAATTGAAATGGACCGTGGTAGATGTACACAGCGTCCGGGAGGAAATATATCGCTCCACACACAACTCCTTCTGTAAGGGTCAGTGATGCTCTGAAATTCACCAGGCCTTGGCTGAGTCTGTGTGATTGTTGTATGATCTGGAACACTCCTGAGATGGGCTTCCCATCCCCCCATAGCCAGCTGTGGGGACTCATGAGGCTCACGGCTGTCCTCAAAACAAATGTCCTTGGTGGACAACTCCAACAACTTCAGTTGGAGAGCTGAAGCTTACAAGTTAAATGTGCTTAAAAAGTAATCTTGTTTTGAAAGATAGCAGTGGAGTGGACAAGATGGAGCAGCAGCCAAGTCTAACAACCTGAATTCAATCTCCAGAACCCACATGGAAGAGAACTGACTCCCCACTCTCTGTCACACACACAGATATAATTTTAAAAATTTAAGGACAGCAGAGTGCAAGGATTCCCTCTATACCTGATTCCACATTTAGCCATTCTCCATGGAAAAAGCAAAATTTTAGAAAACATGGGAAGTACCAGAAATCGGGGTGGGAAAAGGGCAGTTGCAAGATAATTTAGGGGAGGTGAACATGTTCCCTCACCAGATTGTGGTAGTGGTTAAGAGTGTCATATATTTGTCGAAAGTTAGAGCTGTCCACTAAAAAAAAATAGCTTGTTGTATCTTGAGGAACAAACAGTGGTAAGAGATTCCCATGTGTGACCGCCATTTTACAGGAGAGGGAAATCTGGGGAGGCTTGGAACCCAAGGCATCACTCTTTTCCTATTTCTCCATTTACCATTTTTGCTTTTGAGGGAACCCTTCTCCATTGCCCAGGGCGGGGCTCTCTTGATCCTCCCAGGAATCTGTCCAACCTCCAACTGTTTGGAATCCTGGAGGCAGAAGAGAGGACTACAGGCCACGGGGAATCATTGGCGCCGCCCGTTCCTCAGAATGGCCGCCAGGGGGCGCTGCAAGGCTGCTTCTCAGCTTTTGGGGCGCAGGATAGTCGTTTCAGGGCTGCAGTAGATAGACCCTGGAAAACGTGGAGTGGAACAACTCCAATGTAGAGTGTGAAAATTTATATGGGGAAAAAAGGAAGGTTCTGTAGGAACGAGCAGAGTGCCTGCTTCACATAAGGCTCTTCATTCATTGGTGGGGAAAGTGGGGACACGGCAAGAGCAGAGGGGAGAGGGCCTCCAAATGTGAGCAACAACATTGCCAGAGGACCGTAGAAGATCCCAGAGTCCCCTTTCATGGTGGTATCAAAATATTGTTACATCAACCACGCTAATTGCCTTCCCAGTGCACTTTATTCGTGTGTGTTTTAGATGAGAAGGGGCCAAGAATGGCCCCCAAACAATGAGTCACTATTAGAACTATTGGATTATTGCTTCCTTTGCTTTCCCAAAATAATCCTTCCTCCCCCACACATTCACCCATACAACAAAAATTCACTGGAAGCCAGTCTGCGGCTTCTGGAGACGCTGAGGACATGGGAGTATATGAGACAAACATGGACTTTACCCTCTTGGAACACACACACACACGCACACACGTGCACATTTTCTCCCCAAGACAGGGTTTCTCAGCGTAGCCCTGGCTGTCCAGGAACTCACTCTGTAGACCAGGCTGTGCTTGAACTAGAGATCCACCTGTGTCTGCCTCTCGAATGCTGGGATTAAAGACGTGAGCTACCACTGCAGGGCCAGAACTTGTATTTTCAATACAGATGAAGGGGGAAATTTTAGGAAACTATAAATTATGGAAAATAAATTCTAGAAGGAAGAGAAAATAGTATAGTGAAGTGGGTCACCACTCTGATGAGAGAAAAAGTAACCACCTTGCTGCAAGGTATCTAGCCCTTTAAGAAATAGCAAGCAACACCTATTGGAAGTTGCTATTGGAAGTCAGACTTTTAGGGCAAACCGGGGTAGGTCTCAGCTTAGTCTTCTGTTTCTCTAGCTCTGGCCAAACAACAAAGCGGGGCAGATTTTCATTGGCTAGATCCCATCTTCTAGAGTTTCAGGCAAAGGGTACCTCCTACTGCATTTCTTGTGATAGACCACCTTTTCCAGTACGGCAGGAATCTACTCAGGACCCAAGGGTACTTAATCACAATGTGCATCCTTTACCTCCATCTTCCTGCTGGCAGGAGCATGATGAGAAAATGTGGGGATAATGCACATTAGCCTTCTGTCCTTCTTGGGAGGGAAAATCTCTTTGAGTAGATGCCAAATTCACGCTGACTAGGATGAATGTGTGACACAAACTCCCAAGGACACTGTGCTGTCTAGACTTCCTTTCAGAGCTAAATAACTTGACCTTCCCCTCTCCCCTCCATCTCCTGTTGCTCCCTGTTGCCCAGGATCCCATGTCCCTAGAGCAGCTAGCAGTGAGTGGCCAGTGCAGGATCATCCCAGAGCTCCCAGCAAACCTAGCTGTGGCCCTGCCATGGCTGCCCTATAACCTGACTCTCTGTCCAGTCCTGTTTCTTTTCCTCCACCCAGAGATATGGAGCCCGAAAGCATTCGCTAATAACTCCTTGCAACTCAACCTCTTTTCCGGAGAACCCAACCCACAGCATCAAGTGCTAGAGACAACCTGAAGTGTAGCTGCTAAGAAGGGATTCAGGAGCTGAACCACCCAACGGAAAGAGGACCAATCGTTAGGAGGAGAACTTGGGCTGTCTCTGACACAGGGAAGCCCTAGAATGCAAAATGTTTCTTTACAAATGGGGTAGTGTAACAGAGGAAGAAAATGTACTAACATAGATCGTGAACACATGACAAGACACCCCTCAGGCCAGAAGTTGTCAACAACAGCAGTCCCTAGAAAAGCAGCAGACTGCTGCTACTCTCAGGAACGGGGAGCGATGTGCGGCACTCAACTAATCCATCTGGTTGTCACAGTCCTCTCCCGTCCTGCTTCTTACAGTGGGTGACTGTAAGAACTGCATCTTAAAAGGTGGAGAGCAACATTGGGGGGCTCAGACATGGGGAGTGAGGGTCTAAGCCACCCCAACACGTAAGTCACATCAGAGGTTCCGACAAGAGATAAGAGGAATTGTGGGTAAGAGAGGGATCAGTTTTGCCTCAAGATAGCAGTGCCCCTCTGGTAAGAGGGCCACCACAGTCCTGCAGGAGCTGATCTCCGACCCTAAAAGAAAATCATAATCGAGAACTAGGCCATAAAAAGAAATGATAAGCTCTCTGTCTTTTTTGAGACAGTCTCCCTGTGTAGCCCAGGCCTGTCTTAGAATCCATAGTCCTCCCCACTCAGCCTTCCATAGACAAGAATCGCAGGCATGTGCCCCCACACCCACCTGTATACACTTTTCAATTTTTTCTTAGTTTGGTGTGTAGATACACATCTTTAACCAGCGCTCAGGAGGCAGCAGCAGGTGGATCTCTGTGAATTTGAAGCTAGCCTGTCTACACAGTGAAATTTGAGGTCTGAATTCTATACCAGCCTGGGCTACATAAGATCCTGTCAAAAGGCAGGCAGTGGTGGCACTTGCCTTTAATCCTAACACTCAGGAGACAGAGGAAGGCAGATCTCTGAGTTCAAGCCCAGCCTGGTCTATAGAGTGAATTCCAGGACAGCCAGGGCTACACAGAAAAACCTTGTCTCAAAAATCAAAAAACAAAACACTTTATGATTACAAAGTTACGAAATGTATTGCAAAGCACCTATGGAGCAAATACTGGCCTTTGAAGTACAGGTGTCCCCTCACAGCAGAGAGACCGGTCCCTAGCTACGGGGATGGTATAGATCGATTTAAGGGTGTTTGTGCATGTTTACTTGCATGTCTGAGTGTAAGACAGAGGTCAATGCCACTCTCCACCTTTTTTAAAACAAAAACAAACAAAAAACAATCACACAACAAAAAGCAAACAGAGTCTTTCACTGAACCTAGAGCTCACCAATTTGGCTAGACTGTCTGGTCAGCAGGCCCCAGGGACCCTCCGGTCTCCACTTCCCTCAGCAGGGGGATCGCAGGAGCTGTACCTAGGCTCAAATGAGTTGTAAGCAAGTCCTCATGCTTGCACTGGAAGCCCCTGACTGACTGAGCCATCCACCCAGCCCTCTGCTAGTCTTCTTGAGGAACTGTCCTTGGCTGGATAGGCTACCTTCCCTCAGGTTACACCCAGTTCCTGGGGTAGCACCTCATGCCTGCTCAGTACTAGAAGACTTCATCCTGACAGAATCAAAACACCCACTTCAGCTTGAGACCTCTTTTTCAGTCTGCCAAAGCCTCCTGAGCCTGCAGCTGATTTCTGCCCAGTTCCACTTCCTCTCTTCCCCACACAGGAATCGGTCCTAAAAACGCTCCCTATAAACTTCCTACACACCGATCAATAACTTTTCATCTTGGGAGACAGTTCCAAGAGAACCAACTTACAAGACAAACTGCCATTTGAGTCTATGATCCTCACCTCTGGATTTGACGTTTGTCTCCTCTAACCCTGTGCATCCCAGCTACACATATGCAACGTATCTACCACACTCTTGGCCCATGTACTAAACTTGACCCCCAGAGAAAAAGTGTTTTCATTATCCTGCCAGGGCAAAGATACTCCTTCAAGTGCAGAGTAATGGTACAATGTCTTCCAGTGTTCCCTGAAGTCCCATCTGGATTCAGCCTCTTCTGAGCTGAGTCCTGCCATCCATCACAATAAAGTACACCATATTCACAGCCCTTTAACAGTCACAGTATGGCTATTTATGTCTTCAGGCTGCCAGCATAGATCCCTCCTGGGGGCTCTCTATGATCTTCTGGGTCCCCAAGGACTTTCTGCCATAAGGAGCATGGTGGCTCATCTCTGAATAGAAAGATCCCAGCTGTTTTATTCAGGTGAATGATGAGATAGTTCTATTACAAAGAGTCTGTTGGGGGAGTGAGGAGAAAAAGACCCAAAGCAAGGACATAGATTTCTCAAGTTCAAGTCAGCAGCAGAGCTGGGGGTCAAAATACATCTCTGTATCCTTTTTGCTGTACCTCACGCCTCCCTCCTAAGGCCCTCAGCTTTGCTTCTACTAAAATCCAGATAGAGCTGAAGGAAAGGGAACTATTTTGTTCTATATATCTCAGATATGGGACTCTGAATTATCAGCGCTATTGGAAAAGAAGAATATAGTGTGGGACTAAATGGGAAACAACGGGAAGTCTGTGAACAGTGTATTTGGGTCCTTATAACTATGCCCCCATCCTAATTGGCAGGAAAAGATCAGGTAAATCACTGTTATCTACAATGATATGCAGCCACTAGCCTGACAGAAAAAGATGTTCTAATCCTAACACACACACACACAATCTGAGGTCTAGAATCTTTTTTGGGGGGAGGGGGGGTGTTCTAGACAGGGTTTCTCTGTGTAGTTTTGGTGCCTGACCTGGATCTCACTCTGTAGACCAGGCTGGCCTTGAACTCACAGAGATCCACCTGGCTCTGCCTCCGAGTGCTGGGATTAAAGGCATGTGCCACCATCACCTGGCTCTGCGGTCTAGAATCTTGGATAGAGTAATACACATCAAGAAGTTCTGGAAAATACTGTTAAGGTAAAAGGAAGAATTTATACTTTTATTTATTATTATTTTTAAACACCAGAATTAAAGCAGTCTCATTCCACTGAGCTGGAGTTTTAACAGTTGCAAACTGTTCCAACACTTAACCTTGGCCAGTTATGACCATCAGTGAATATTAGTCAGGAATTCCCTACTGTACCATTATAGCTTCTTTTATTCTGGGCAATCAAAACAATAGATAAGAAGCCAAAACTATGACTCCGTCAAACTTCCCCGGTACTTAAAAAGAGAAAAAGTGAAGAG